AACGAGGCGAGAACTGATAGTTATCGAAACCTATTGCTACAAATTGTTTATTATTTTAAATATGTAACAGTCTTGCACTCTTTTCCTGCCAAACCTCAATCAAAACCCACATTATATTCAGCCAGAGCTTGGCGGTGTTTAATAAAAATAAATAAATAAAAAAAAATAAATAAATAAATGAAAGGCAATGGCAGAAAAACGGGCAAAATGAAAGAGAAAACAGCTGTTTGATTTTGAAAAAAAAACAACCCATTTTTTCACTTGTTTAAATACGTGAGTTTTATAACAATAACACACGTTTTGTTCACATTCTCCAGTGAATTCGGCAATATCAGCTTCAGATGGAATAATGAAAAAACGTATCATTCGTTTAAGTAAATCAAAACTTATCTGCATATCTTAATTTGCTCGTTTGCAGATTCTAATCCGCTTAGAATATGGAATACGTTAATCTCCGTATTTATCCAAACGGCACTTTGCCATCGATCGTTTGTTCTTATACGTGTGGATCTCGTTTTGTGCCATTAGAATGAATGCGCTCACTTAAATCTGTTTAGTGCCCGCTTATGACCTTCAGTTGCAGGCACAAGTGCTTGATGTGAAACTATACCACATCATGTCGTCTGCACCGGCTTTAGTACAGCTTCATTCGCTGAAAAGGCGATATGCAAACAGTATTCAAAATATTAATCCCCTAATTTGCAATAAAACGTAGACAGAGATTTGAAAAGATTTCAGTCGATCCGAGGTTAACAGTATTTTCTTAATAATACCAAAATAATGCCTTGGCCAATGGCTCATCAGAATATAAAATGCTATTACTGTGTTGGACTGTAGTTAAACCATTTGTACGCTAGCCTTATTTTCATACCTAATCCTCACTGATTTCGAATGAAAAGTTGATAAAATGTACAATTGAAATCGACCCATCTGAAGTCATTTCGGTACATCTTCCAAGATTTGAATATTCATCTGAAAATTTTGGTTCGTTTATTGTTTTATACTCTATTTATTACAATTGAAATACAAAATTATATTCATGCAGGAGAATTTGATCAAGCTTCATCCAACGAACTGAAAAAATGCTTGAATTCGGCGAGTCGAATGAGGCTGATTCGAACCATTCGTCAATGGATCTTCTTTCCTGATGTGTATACGATTTTTTTTTGTATAAAATCAATCGGGCAGACAATTTTTTTAAATGATGAAACAACACTATTGAATCGTCATTATCTGCACGTACGTGACATTGCACTGTAAAAAAAATGAATGAACACAGATTCGTGGAATCAATCACCCCAAATGCGCGAAAGAGTGTCATATCACCTGACTCGTACACTCGTGTTTTTTTGGATGAAAAAATACCGAATCGTTTGCCAGACAGAATGCAATTTCCACGAATGTTAAGGTTGCCTACCTGTTTAAACAATAAAACAAGCTGATCCGGTGTATCAGATGAGAAGTCATTTTAATTCAATCGAACGTGTGCTACGTTTTTTCCGTAAACTGTGATAAATTTTATTGCGTTTGAAAATGAAAATAATTTGTTTATTGACCTTGGCCGTATGCAGTGTTCTTGGCAGGCAAATCCACCAACAGGTAAAAATATGAAAGCTTTGAAGAAATTCAAGTTTTCAGACCAATTCCGATGATTTTCAATCATTTTCACGACATTTGAAGAATTTCAGAAACTTTCAACTAAATTGAAACAACTTTGCCAAAAATCCCATTAACTTCAATTTCCCATTATTTTTCTCTGTCTGAATGATTACATACAAGATTTGATCGATTGCCAAAAATTATGGAATGTTAGCTCGGCAAATGTGGAAAAATGGATGCAAAAGCCATCGGTACATAGGAATTTTCCTAGTATTGAACAATTGAAAATACATTTACTTGGAATATTTTTGTTTCTTAACTTAAAATTCGGAATTCAATATAGAATTATAACGGGGGTTACAAGGGACGACATTTCTTTGGCTGTATCATACGTTTATTGGTAATTATTCGTGTGTTTTTTTTTTAAATCGTTCATTAAACTATAACACGGATACATTGAATTGAAATTTACTTCTTTTCATTTGAAGATGAATAACAAGTGGCAGTTCAACGTTGATAAATTTCGTAAGATGATAGAGACTAAATTCTCCAACAGAAAAGTGAACGTTAGAAAGATCATTAAAAGGTGTGCAAATGGTATTAATCCAAATAATTTGCGATCATGTAACGATCGGTCTAAATTCGGTCGTTGTCTCTTCGATGTTATGCGCAAAAAGTTTAACTATCAAAACAACGATCTAGGTTGCCTTTTTCGTTGATGATTATAGCCTAGAATAATTAAAAGAAATATTTTCCAATTCATTAGACTTTAATTGCATAGAATTTAATGTTGAAGCTGTAAATCCAATCCAAGTAACCGAATAAAATTGAAACAAAAACTCCAAAATAAATTCAGATCTTCATAGAAACACATAAAAGAATCATACCATTCAATGCAATACATTCAATTTCACCGAGAAGTGAATTCAATAAAAAAAATTTAAGCAACAATGTTTCAATTGAATGAGGGCGTCAGCAAACAAACCGACTTTTACTGCAGACTTTCGAATTGTTGTAATTCCATATTCAATTAATTGCCAAATCGTTTACGTCTAGGTATGAAGTAATCGTTCATTCTCTGTTTACAAATTGGACCCAGATACAAATCATGGAAAAAACTGAATTTTAAATGAAATGAATTTTTATTGAAATTTACTCACATGATTCACAATAAATATAGTTTTTTTCTATATACTAAGGAAAGGTTTGACTTGACTTGAAAAGAAACGGCAACCAATACCAAAGAAAGTGTTTTAAATGTCATGACTTTCTGTGAAAGCCTTTTGCTTGATAAAATGATATTGTAATTTTGCTTATTGAACTTAGAATAGTCTACAAAGGATCGAACCAACGTTCGTTGACCACTCTAATTGCGCATTATCCAAATTCACATATCTAAGGGGATGGAACATCGGCTTTGGCATTAGCATCAACTTTGCTAGCATCGGCTTTGCTAGCATCAACTTTGCTAGCATCGGATTTGCTAGCATCAGCTTTGTTAGCATTGGAAATGGAACTAGCATCGGCATTGGCATTGGCATTAGCGTCCGTGTTTTTAATTGTATCAGGAATGGCTTCCTTATTAGCACTGGTGTTAGCAACAGCATCCTTATCAACATTTGCAGTGGGAACGGCGTCCACGTCAACTTTTGTATCGGGAACGATTTCTTTGTTAGTATTCGCATTGGCAACAGCGTCTGTGTTGCCTGTAATGTTGGCACTTGCGCTCGTACCCTGTTTGTGTTCTTTTACCAGATTACGGATCTGAACGAAAATACACTGAGCAAATGTGGCTATTTTGGGACAGGTTGTGAGGTCATCTGATTTAGTACCCGCCTTTTCACATTCATTTTTGATCATTCCCAAATCGACTGGTACATCTTTCACTTTTTTGGCCGTGATTTTTTCCAATCGTTCCATTACGAGCTTGCCATCGTAGATCTAAGCGGAGTGAAGAGGTTTTATTATTGATAATTATGATAATTTCAGTTTTATAATTGCATGTGATCATAAAGATGAATTCAAAGCAGAATTTCTGGATCAGTACAATTTTAGACAGATTGCCCTTTTTCAAAATTGAAGACCATAGTTATCAATTTTGGAATTGCGAAAAATTTTCCCATATCCAACTATAAAATATCCATGAAAAATATGTACTTGAAAATTAAACTTTCATTTTTTTTTAAAGGTCCCGTGTGGAAAATTTTTGACTGTCCAAGTCGGTCGATTAATTTGGGACATTCAGTGACTATTTGACTGACTAGAAGTGATTGTCTCGAACAAAATAAGCAACTGCAGTTAACTTTAATCACAAATCACTCTTAGTCAAAATGTCCTAAATAAATCGACTGACTGAAAGAATAACTAAACGTGATTGTCTCCATACAAAACACATGATTTCAATCAACTTAGCTAGTTTTAGTTGTGTATCACTACATACAGTTACATACAACCGAGTGAATGTTAGTCATTTTGTTTGCACACGGGGTATCAGAGACATCCGAAGTCAAAGATTGAGAAATTCTAAATACTTGTTTGAGTGAAGAAGGATTTGATTTTGATTTGAAAAGATTGATTCTGACTCTGAGAATGGGCCAATTGCACAAACAATTGAAGTGCTGAGAATATTCGTTAGACGTGTTTCGATGCTTAGACCAACGAATATTCTCAGCAGTTCAAATGATCAAGAGCATGAAAGTCGGACAGAAGCGTCGGTTTTATTCTATCAAAAATTACCAAAGGATCAGCAATGCAACAAATGAACTTTTGTTCTCCAGCCGTCAATAGTGTATACTGAAAGAAATTTTTTTAAAACAGAAATTCAATTTATTTTTTTGTGCAAAAAAAAAAAAGAATATGGATAAAAGGTTTACCATTGCTTTTTCTTTCAATGTTTTGAGGTCATTTTTAGAGAGACCCGACTTATTTGCACAGAGTTGCAAGAATTTCTTGTTGCCCTGGAGAAGGAAATGCGCATTGTAATATAGTTTTATTTTTAATTGGATATTTTTAGACCATTTTTTCAAGTTTTCTATCATTCTACCCGTACCCAGCGTTCATACGGGTTATTTAATTTCTACTTTTATTCTTTAATTTCAAAAAACCTACCCTCATGTTTGGTTTTTTAGCAATGTCTTCACATAAAACGACGCACAAAACGGCAGCTAAAATCAAAAACTGTTTCATTTTCCCAACAAATTTTCTTTCACAATGGAATTTAATTTTAAGACAAAGTTTGAAAACGTTCGTATTGAATTGATACTATCAACTTCTTTAGACCGAATGATAAAAAGATACGCAAAATCTTGCGCTTTTATTGAAAGCGATCGATCAAACGTGCCAATTCACAATTTGTTTTCTTTATCATCACAACAAATAACAAATTTGAGAAATAGAACGAAACCTTCTACCAGTTTTTTATTCAAGCAATTCCAATATTTACATTCTGTCGCGTATTTTACTTGTAAATAACATCAATTTATCTTTTCTAATCGATGCAATTCTTGGTTCGCAGTGTATTTTAATTTTGGCTCGTCTATTTAGGTCATCGTAAAAAACAAATGTTCGCCAGAATATTTATTTATATGGGCCGAAAAACCTAATTTATATTGGCAAACCACATAATTTCAAAACCTTCACAATTGACGTCAACCGGTCTTAGACGTGACTGTGCGGTGGCGTGCAAAGGTTTTGTAGCATACGAAGCAAGTTGTCAAAATGCCGCCCCCCAATAAAAAAAACTACGCTACAAATATACCGCGTGTATTCCCTGCGCACGCTGCGTTTATACCATATTCACGCTTACGCTTATTTTATACATAGTTTAATACAGAGTCGAAGGTATATTTAGGGCATATTTTTAGCGTGAACCGCATGCAAAACGTACGTATAGAATACTTTGACTTAGTGTATGCTATCCATATGCTTTGCACGCGGTTCACGCTAAAAATATGCCCTAAATATATCTTCGACTCTGTATTAAACTATGCATAAAATAAAACGAATTACATACGTACTCCAAACTTTTCCGCTCCGCGGCAATTTGGTTTACCTCTCGCTTAGTATTTAACCAAAATTTCAATAAAAACTCTTTTCATAGCACTTCTGAGCTGGAAAAATAACTATTTTGACCATTTTCCATATAAAAATGTCATTTTCTAACAGAATTTCAAAAATTTCAAGAAATGTCGGTTTTGGACCAAATTTATGAGCAAGTAGGTGTTCGGTTGTTCACAGACTCCCATTATTTTTGCAAAAAAAATATCAGTTTGCCTTGACCGAAACTCTAAAAAATGGCTTTCTGAGTGATTTTTTATACAATAAGTCTATTTTTCGAGGAAAATTTCAAGAAATGTCGATTTCGGACCAAATTTATGGGCAAGTAGGTGTTCGGTTGTTCATAGACTCCCATTATTTTTGCAAAAAATGGCAGTTTTCCTTGATCGAAACCCTGAAAAATGCTTTTTTCGGGTACTTCCCGTACAAAAGTGTCATTTTTCAAGGTTTTTCAGGTCCTCAGTCGGAGGCTTATGGTACGAAATTGGTAAATCAGAATGGGCTCAAAATCAATCCGAAGCTTTGTCTCGACATGCCAAAACTTTTGGCTTTTACAGATCTCAATTATCTTGTCAACTTTTTGAGATAATCGGCGAACAAAAAACGCGAACGCGGACGACGCCATACGCACATCGCAATTTTACACATTTTTCATAGTAAACAACGTATTTTTGGAAGCAGATAGGTCTTGATCGATAGGATTTGTTCCCATCTACATTGCCTAGTGTACAGATATGTGCTTTTTCAAGTTTGGCGTGACGTTACTCTCTGAGTTCCATCACATGGAATGATACGTATGACGGCATATTTTCACACGGAACTTCGTTCCCAGTGCATCGAGCACTTGCTATATATAGAGCGAACGTATCCGAATATTAGAAACCACACGTTATAACATGTAGCTAGTGCTCGGCGCACTGGGAACGAAGTTCCGTGTGAAAATATGCCTTCACACGTATCATTCCATGTGATGGAACTCAGAGAGTATAGTGGTCCGAAAGAGGAGATGTCATGAAATTTTGGCTAGTAAAACCAATACTTTTCCATACAAACATAGTTTGCGGAAAAGTAAATAAGCGTAAGCGTGAATTAGGTATAAACGCAGCGTGCGCAGGGAATACACGCGGTATATTTGTAGCGTAGTTTTTTTTATTGGAAAGCAATTGCAATTAGATTCAAATTGCGGTATTTATCATCACAATAGCCCAACCAGTACTGAGAACGGCACAAAAATCAGTTGACAAAAAGCACTCATCAAAATTATTACTCATAAAAAATTTTGAAGTCATTTTCAGTGGTGTGTGACTATGAAACAAGATCATATATGATGAATTGGTCAGCGGGATCGAAAGCAAATGCAATTAGCTTCTGCGTACTGGAGGACTCCTTTTCCAGAATACATTGGACCAGGTCGTGGCCACCTGCTCCACAAGTTTGACTTCCAGCTTGGATCAGCCCCAAATTTAACTTCCCAAATCTGGAAGTGAATCCTGTGGAGCAGGTGGACCCGACCTGGTCCAATGTATTCTAAAAGTGGAGTCCTCCAGTATTGGTTTTACTAGCCAACATTTCATGACATCTCCTCTTTCGGACCACTATAACGTCGCGCCAAACTTCAAAAAGCACATATCTGTACACTAGGCAATGTAGATGGGATCAAATCCTATCGATCAAGACCTATCTGCATCCAAAAATACTTTGTGTTTTTCGTTCGCCGAATATTTCAAAAAATTTACAAGATTATTGAGATTTGTAATTGCCAGAAGTTTTGGCATGTCAAGACAAAGCTTCGGATTTATTTTGAGCCCATTCTGACTTACCAATTCGTACCATAAGCCTCCGACTGAGGATCTGAAAAACCTTGAAAAATTATGTAAATGTTCGCGTAAATTATTAGGTAGAACATCTGGCCACGTATGCGGGTCATATAAATTTGGTTCGATCGGTTTTTCACTCGCAGATTGCTGCTCATCGCCACTTTTCATAGCACTTTGATTTCCACTTTCAGTATCATTTTCACTTGAATCGGATTTGTTTGTTTCCATCGGTTCAGTTTCGTTTCCCATGCTCGGCGTATCTTGCCTAATCAAAAAATTTCCCATGGCGCCTTTGAGCTCAGAAACTTCTTTATCTCGTTTTTCTTTTTTTTTACGACCACTAGCACCACTTCCTTTCTTTCTTGTCCAACACCAACCATCGTCGATAAATAATTTAAGAACAAGAAACGTCTGACTGAATGTTATTTGTTGTGGCTAATGATTCGAATTCGATTTGAATGCGCGTTTAATTCGAATGAGTACACACTGAATAAAGCGAACCAAAAATCTATCTGGCATTTCATAACCATCATGTTGAAAAAAATTCAATTGCTCAGCTATTTATCGACTATTGATTTTTATGGCTTGAATTCCACGTACCACATCGATAAACATAAGTTTTGAGTTTTCATCAACTAAATATATACAATTTCATCGGCTACACAATGTGTCTCACCATCAGAACGAAAAGTGTTTCGAATTTAAGGAGAAAGAAAGAATTAACCGTTCGTCCAACGCCAAATTGTTGATAAATTTCAATATATACAGACAGATGACAAATGCATGCTCGCTTCGCTCGCAATTTCGCAGAATTTTGAAAAATGCCTCGCATGCCTCATGCTTCGTACGCCACCGTGACTGTGTATCACAATTAAATGATAATCTACCTATATTTATGACAATGAGATTATCTAATCAGCTAAAAAGTGCGTATAAATAGAGATGATTCTTTTCAAATGAAGATTATTAAAAGTTTTCAGTTGTAGCAAAGAAGTTTGTTAAAATATCATTTGCGATGAATTCATTTTCAATGTTGACATTTTGGGCATTTTCCCTTGGAATCGTTTTTGTGATGGTGAATGCAGTTGGTAATTATTTTTCGTAAGAAAACATTCAAGAGATGCCAAATTAATACCAATTTCACTTTCAGCTGTTCAACCTCCAACCTGTCCTGGAGTTAACGAGGAATTCGTGTACAATTCGCCAATTGCTTGTCAAAGGATCTGCAACTTGCTAAACTTTGACTGTTGTTTAGATGTGCCTACACCTGTCAGTAAGTGCTTCTGCAAAGAGGGTTTTGCTAGAAACGAGAACAAAACATGTATTTCAATCAAATCTAAAGAGTGCCAAGACGAAATCTACACCGTTCCATGTTCACCATGCGGTAAAATTGTAGACTGTGGTCCACAGTATTGAATATTTTTTGCGAATATCTGCCTGAACATTTGATTTAAATTAAAATGCCAAATCATTACCATGTTAAAGAGGTAAAATGGAATACAAGAAATTAAAATCATGTGTACTTATAAAATTTTGTTGAATTTTTTCTTTAAATTGTTATTAAAATTGCTTCACTTCTGCTTCATTTGGCATAAAATATTTTAAGATCATATTTTCTATGCGCCATATATGAGCTTGCACATATTTCAAATGCGAACTGTCACATGCGCTGTATCGTTTTTGCATGCTATGTGTGTGCATGATTTGGACATTTGGAGTGTATGTTAGTGCGGTTGTGCGAGAGCGGTTGCGTCAATGATGGTTTACATGTAGAACAACCAATAACACGCGTTAAGCGTTACGCGTTACACAACAAGTATGAGCGAGAATGCATATTAGACCGATCCAAAAAAAAAGTTGTCCCTCATCCCAAAAGTCCGGCCAGTTTCGAAAAATATACCTCAAAAAAATAGGTTTGGCGCAAAAAACGCATATGGGTCCCATATAAAAACCCATAACAAGCCTCACATCAAAATTTTCATGACAGTGTTTTCTGAAGCCATTTTAGATCGCTACATTTCGACCAAAATAATTTTTCCAGCCAATATTCGGCAGAAACTGTTGATATAATTTTGTTTGTCTTGTCAATATGTACAACTTTTACCAAGACATCAGCCCTTGAAAAGGCATTCTGGGCCAGTTACAGTGTAAAATGACGAGAAAAATGGCAATTTTTCGACTTTTTTTGCATTTTTCGCTCTACTGGCCACCCAGGTGGTAAACTTTTGTTCAATTTTGGACTTGTGTCGTGTAGCCAAAACCTGTATAAAAATTTTGGTACTTGTCAGATTGCGATTTGGATGGAATTTGGCGACAATTGATTCACACATATAAGACAAATTTCAGGCCAAAATGAGCAAATCACAAACATGAGCTTCGATTTGACAAAT